TCCATGCTCCTAGCTTCAGATGGCTCAGCTCTGGCCATTGGGAGTGAAGCAGTGGATAGAAGACCTCTCTCTCTGTCTCACCCTCTCTCTCTAATAATTCTGCTTCTCAAATAAGTAAATATTTTTTAAAAGTTATATATTTAACAGGATAGAAAAATACTTAGAAATGGGTTTATCAAAATTTTATTTTAATTTTCTCTTTAAAATATATTGTTATGAAAATTAAGGCAAGATATCTTTGCTGTGGTGGCCCTTTGAGTTGTCACAGACTGGGAGAAAATAATTGAAAGTACATCTAACAGTGTACTTGTATTTATACTGAGAATATATATTCCTAACCCACCAGAGTGACTGCATTTAAAATGACAAGCCATTTGGCTGACACCGCGGCTCACTTGGCTAATCTTCCACCTGAGGCGCCGGCACCGCGGATTCTAGTCTCGGTTGCTCCTCTTACAGTCCAGCTCTCTGCTGTGGCCCAGGAAGGCAGTGGAGGATGGCCCAAGTGCTTGAGCCCTGCACCCGCATGGAGACCAGGAGGAAGCTGTTCTGGCTTTGGATCGGTGCAGTGTGCCGGCCGTAGCAGCCATTTTGGGGGGTGAACCAACAGAAAGGAAGACCTTTCTCTCTGTCTCTCTCTCTCACTGTCTAACTCTGCCTGTCAAAAAAAAAAAAGATGACAAGCCATATCACATGTGAGTATGGATATGATAGGCCTGAATCTCACAGAACCTGTTAAATGGAATGTAAATGATATATAATCACTTAGGAAAACAGTTAGTAGTTTCTGAGAAAGTTACACCTATCCCTACCATATAGGCTAGCCATTTAACTTCTGTGCATTTACTCAAGACAAATACATGTGTATAATCATAAAATGGGAAACAATCTAAATGTCTGACAACTAGATGAGTGGCTGAAAAAATATGGCATACTGATATGGTAGAATACTATTCAGCAATAAACGAGAAGACCTATTGATATACACATTGCCATGGATAAATCTCAAAATAGATATGTTGACTGAAAAATTAAGACTAAAACTAAATATGTACAAGCACTGTACAAGGGAACTTCAAAAGGTTCACAGAAAATTTGTATATGAAGAAACCTGCCAAGATTTCAAATATTTTTGCATCAAATAAACCTCTCAATTCTATTTTCCATGAAGATTTTGAAATATCCTCATATGACTCTATTTATATAAAATTCTTGAAAATCAAGCTAGTCATTGCTGATGGAAATGAAATCAGTTGATTGCTATAAATAGGTGAACAAGGAGGGAGGGATTGCAAACATCTGGAGGAAACTTATGGACAATGGATATTAATTGTGATTATGATCTCATGAGTATATGTCAAAACTCACCAAATTATAAAGTTTGAACATGTGAATTTTACATCAGTTTTGCCTTAATAAAGCTGCAAACAAGAGAAGTGAAAGAAGAAAGCAAAAAGGAGAAGAGAATAGGAAGATGACAAATTTGGAGAAGGATAATTAGAAGAAAAAAATATAATTCTAGTATAATCGTAGACATGGATTGAAGTAGAAGGATACTGAGGCCAAGAAGCAAAGCTAAGAGCCCATTATGTCAGCCCAATGAAGAAACAAAATGATGAAAAAACTGGTATAAATATCATCTCTCCCTATATTGATTAATAATAGACTTGGTAGCCTGACATAGCTGGCAGGGCAAATGTCCCTTTCCTGACAAGTCTATGTTCATCATTCATTCACTCATTTAATAAATATTGAGTGCCTACTTGGTGTAAGGTTCTGTTTTAAGCACTGAGAAGATGATGATGGTAAAGACAGGCAAATTTCACACAGTCATACTTTGAATAGGGGATGCAAGCAGTAAAGATATAAAAAGAATATAACATAAATAGATTAATATGTTACAGAGAAAACAGAATAGGGTAATGCATGGAGAGTAACTTAGGGAGGAGGGTATTCGCTAATTTATGTTTTGTTTCAGGGAAGACTAAGGAATAATACTGTAGTATTATAATTCAGGAATAATACTTAGTATTATAATTAAGCTTTAGCTAAATTAGGAAAGACAAAGACCTAAAAGATAGTAGCTATGGGTAGAAAATTTTAAGCTAGAGGGATCAACAATTACAAATACCCTTAATTGGAAGGAAATAGGCATATTTAGTAAACAGAAAGGAAGCTGGAAGAGGGGAGAACAGTATGAGAAGGATGGTAAGGTAGATAGCTGCCACAGTGTATATGGCCTTATAAGCCACTTTGAGGCTTTTAAATGTTATCATTTTTCAATTCAGAGGGAATCCACTGGAGGATCTTAAGCAGAGAAGCAGTATTCCTACTTAGATAGAGGGAGCCTATCAGGCAGAAAGGTAGAAAGGTGGGAGAAATGAAAAGAGGGTGATGAGTTAGAAGTTAGCTTATCCTACAAAGGTTGGTTAGAAATGAATTTGGAATTTTTATCTTAGAGGCCCAATCATTAAGATTTTCTGGGTGCTGGTAAATAGATTGTAGAGGGGAAAGGGGCTATGGAATAGAGAAGAATCAAGAATGACTTATAGGCTTTCAAGTATCCACGTGGAAAATCATACCGTTTTTTGAGATCAGAAGGCCTAGGAAGCAACATATTTGATGTGTAATAAGTGGGCACAATTCCACCCCTTGACTCTTGAGTTTGAGCATGTGACTATCTGAGGAGTTAGCAGATGTGATTCAAGCAAAGGCATTAAAAAGCTCTTAGGTAATTGAGCTTCCACTCTTGGGCATCTGCTGTCATGATGAAAAGGACAGGCCTGGGTAAACTATTGGAAGGAAAGATATAAGTTTAGCAAAGCCAAGACACCCCAGTCAGCCCAGGTAATACTAACCTAAATTACTTTTGAATCAGCCAATCCAAGGCATTTAAACAGAAATCCAACCAAGATCACTCAAGTTCCGTGGCCAACCCCTAGCTTCTTATAGTCATGTCAGCAAGAAACACTTATTTTTTCAATTTTTATTTATTTATTTATTTGAAAGACAGATAGATAGAGGAAGAATGGCCAGGGCTGGGCTGTTACTAAAGCTAGAAGCCTATAATTCAAACCAGGTCTCCCACTGGTAGGAAGCAAATTACCTGAGCCATCACCATTACTGCCCACAGTCTGCATTGGCAGGATGCTGGAGTCAGAAGCTGGAGTAAGGAATTGAACTTGGGTACTCTGATATGGTACATGAGCATCCTAACTAGCATCTTAACTGCTAGGCAAAACACCTATCCCAATAAATACTTATCATATTATTTCACTGAGATTTTGTGATTCTGGAAATAGATAACTGATACAAGAGAGAATAGGCCAACCAAAGGGGAAAGATTAGCCTGATCTGGGGACAGGATGAATGTGCGATGGCCATTATAAGCTGAATGTAGAACACAGCAGCCACTTACATTCTGTGAATTGTCAGCAGACATGTAGCTCAAGATGTGAATATGGATGAGATGAACCCAAGGATTATATAGAGAAAGAAGAGGAAAAATACCATTTTACATGTTAAAATGATCATATTAAGTGTGTAATTGATCATATAAAGAGGATTAAGTGCCAAAGGGATTACATAAATAAGGCCCAGTGTCTGCTAATAACAACATATAGAATTAAAAAGGAGAGAATGATCCAACATGGGAAGCAGACCACACAGCAACTCATAGAATGACAAATACCCTAAACAGCACTCTGGCCTCAGAATCAGTCCTTAAGGCATTCTGGTCTGGCTGGAAAGCCCATGAGAGCATGTCAGGCATGGAAAACCAAGACTCTGTGGCAAAAAATGTTCTACATGAAGGATCTCTGTGAGTGAGACCCCAGTGGAAAGAAGGGGCCGTCGAAGAAGGATGTACTTTTCTCTGAAGAGAGGAAAGGACTTCCACATTGCTTATGGCCCTATCTAAACACTGATGGAGTTTATGGGCTCAAAAGTCTTCCATAGCCTTGGCAGCTCATGTCAAGAGCCTCAGGTGATCACTGACATCATAAATAATAGTGTTAATTGTTAAATCAACAACAGAACTGTGCACTTAATCCCCATGTAGGACCTCTGTCCTTAATGAGTTGTACTATGAGAATTAGCTGTAAAACTTGTTTTCAAACAGTATTTTATACTTTGTGTGTGGGTGTGGATGCAAATTATTGAAATCTTTTATAGAGTTGGTCTTCTGTATATAAAGTTAATTAAAAACAAATCTAATGAAGAATGGGATGTGATAGGGAGTAGGAGGTGGGACAGGAGTGGGAGTGGGAGGGCGGGAATCAGGGGGAAGAACCACTATATTCCTAAAGCTGTACCTATGAAATTTATATTCATTAAATAAAAGCTTTCTTTAAAAAAAAAGAAATCTGAAGAAGAGCTACATTTGAAGGAATTATTGAGATTCGAAGGAGTGCTCAGAGTTAGCTAAGGAGAACAGAAAAGAGTGGTGATGTGAAAACCAAATTCACAAGGGGCATCAGTTAGAATTATCAAATGCCCCAAGGAGACAGAATAGATATCTTTGTACCCATTTTGCAAATGAATAAAATGAGATTTGAAAGGGTTAATTCAGTTTATTGTGCATGATCATACAAGCTATCAAAAAACAGTAACGGTGTTGGAACGTAGACCTTTTGATGCTTACCTCAAAGCTTTATAATTTTTAATCATACTCTCTTGAGTGTGTACTTCTGTTTCCTATAAATATATTATTAAAATGGCCATAAAGTATATATAAAATATTACAACAAAATAATTAAATGTAAATATTTAGAACTAAATGAAATCTAAAAAATAAGAAATATATAACTCCAGGGTCCTTGTGAAATTATAAAATAACTGTTTCTTTAATGTATGTTGCATTCTACTATACCAATTTTTTCTATATCTGGTAAATATATATGTTTATGTTAAGTAGATTTCCAACATGCTTTATGGATCAAAACAATGACTTTCCTCTCATGTTGAATATCATGAATTAATAATGTTGAAATATATTACAGAATGAACTTGATGAGCTTGAAAAACAAATAGCAGCAGTCTCTGCAGAAACTAAAAAAACAGAGAGGCAAATTTATCAGCAAGATACTGCCATAGAGAATACCAAACTGCAGTGTAGAAGCCTGGAAGCTCAAATCAAATCCTTACATGCAGAAAATGTACAGCTTAAATTTGACATAGAAACAGCCCAGGAAGATTTTGAGGAACGCATGATAAGATATAATGCATATTATGCAAAAATAAAAGCACACCGAGATAGTTTTGGAGAGAGAGAAAGCAAATGCTCATTTATGACTGAACTACATGAAAAACGAGAACTTGTTCAAAAGCTAAAAACAATGAAAGAGGAACTTATACAAGATCTCCAAAATCCAGAAGGAAACCGAATAACGCAAGTTCAGGTTTGAATTATTACTTATCAAAACTTGTTCTAATACTCCTCTTTTTTCAAATATATATATTAAATGATAAACTCATCCTTAAGTCCATAATTCTACTACATTCAGAAACTATTTTAATAATTTTTTAAAACTTGGATAAGTATATGAGTTATATACCTCCCATCCTAGATATACAAATGCATAAAAGAAACAGCCACAGATATACTGTTGATTTATAAAATGTATGGTCATATAAAATCACAGCAAACAATGAATCTATTTGTTGCAGAAATTGTAATTCACAAAAATGCTGAAGACTTAGCTTCTATACTAATGCATCCAGATCCGTTTAAATCACTTTAATATGCTTAATGCTATTATGAAAATAATCTTGAATTAATAATTTCACCTTAAACATTTTTCTATTTTTCTTATTTTTCTTAAAAGGCAGTAGAAGATACTGAGTTAAATTATCTATCATTTCTTGCTAGAGAATTAAAAAGCTACAATAATTACCAGATTCCTTTACATCTTATTTATATTTGGTTTCTAGTTCTATGCTTTCAATCCTGAAGTTTGTTTGTTTGAATAATAGTTCTTTATTCTGTATACTTATAGAAGTATCTAAACTCATTGATAAGGATCAAACTTTTATTTGTTTTCTTAAAGACACACTGAAAATATTTTATTTATATTGACCATTCTTTTTTTGACTCGTATATTTAAAATTTTATAAACATGCAGGAAGACATTACAAAGCTAAAGGATAAAATTTTAACTGTGAAAGAATCTATCATAGAAAAAACTTGTTTTATTGGGGAAGAGAAGAAGACACATGAAAAATTAAGAAAAGAAATAGAGGTAAGTCTTAATATTCTGGATTTTAATACTTTATGGAATAATTTCTTAAACTTACATTATGTTCATATTTCCAGTTTGCTCCCAATTTTCAAAACAGCTAGAGATCAAGATTATAAAACTCAGTAGATAAATACAAATCATAGCTAGATCATTAGAGATAACTGCCTCATTCAAAGGTGTTCAAATATGTGAATGTATTAAAATAATTTATTCCTACTTAAATATGGCCTATAATTCTTCTTAATCCCTTTCTACCAAAAACTTGTACTTAATTAATGGCTGGGATACAAAGGCTATAAAAATCAAAGATGATGACCATTCTCGACAATAGAGATACCTCAAAACAGATCAAAAGATAGCAAAAATAATTGTCATTCTAAACCTCTCTGATCTCATCTTTAACAATTATCAAGAGCCAAGAAAACAAATATACAAAATTGAAAGTGAAACTAAATTCATAGTGTTGTACTACCTGTAGATTTCTGAAGTCATTATTGTTTAGAAGAATGGAGAACAAAAATGGAAAAGAACGTGCTATAAGAACAAATTTAAAAATTTTCTTTTTTTAAAAAGATTTATTTATTTATTTGCAAGTCAGAGTTACACAGAGAGAAGAGAGGCAGAGAGGGAAAGAGAAAAGTCTTCCATCCACTGGTTCACTCCCCAGATGACCGCAATGGCTGGAGCTGCGCCAGTCCAAAGCCAGGAGCCAGAAGCTTCTTCTGGATCTCCCACACGGGTGCAGGGGCCCACGGACTTGGGCCATCTTCTACTGTTTTCCCAGGCCATAGTAGACAGCTGGATTGGAAGTAGAGCAGCTGGGTCTTGAACTGGCGCCCATATGGGATGCTGGCGCTTCAGGCCAGAGTGTTAACCCGCTGCGCCACAGCGCAAGCCCCAATAATTTTCACCTTTAAGACATTAATTTGGAAAAATATGCATATTTCAACTTGCTCACAACTTGCTTGTGACTAACTTGAACACAATAAAAGAGTCCCTGAAAAATTTGAGTATTAAAATTTCTCATCTTTACAAATTTTCTGTAATACCATGATTATACCATATAGTTCACTAGGAATTTAAATTTTTTGCCCTTTTAGGTATCAAGATTTATTATTAAACTAAATATTAATATAATTTACAAGTGATAGAAAAGTAAGGGAGGAAGGATTAATAAAACAGAATAGAAATAATTCATATATAGATGGAGCAAGCAAAATAAGGCATATGGGGAAAAAAGAAGGCTGAATGAATTTGGATTCCTCCCTCATATCTCTCTGTTTCTTTCTCTTTCTCTCAGACACACACACTTGTAAGAATATTAAAGATGATGAAGGAGAACAACTTAAAAATTTGTGTTAGAGAAGTCTTTCTTTTAAAAGTTAAAAAAGAGGGCCGGCGCCGTGGCTCACTAGGCTAATCCTCCACCTTGCGGCGCTGGCACACCGGGTTCTAGTCCCCGTCAGGGCGCCGGATTCTGTCCCGGTTGCCCCTCTTCCAGGCCAGCTCTCTGCTATGGCCAGGGAGTGCAGTGGAGGATGGCCCAGGTGCTTGGGCCCTGCACCCCATGGGAGACCAGGAAAAGCACCTGGATCCTGGCTCCTGCCATCGGATCAGCGCGGTGCGCCGGCTGCAGCGGCGGCCATTGGAGGGTGAACCAACGGCAAAGGAAGACCTTTCTCTCTGTCTCTCTCTCTCACTGTCCACTCTGCCTGTCAAAAAAAAAAAAAAAAAAAAAAGTTAAAAAAGAAAACAAACTCTACAACCAAATATTTTTACCTTTAATTATGTTTAATGTTTCTAGATTATGGAAATACATTTTAACAAAGAAAACAAGATTCAGTTTTGTAGAAGACATTTATAACTCATTTAATCAGGAAAATATAAGAAAATATAAAATGAGTAAAACATTGAGTAAATGGTATGGAAAGACTTATTTTTTGAAATATGAATATCCAAAAAGCAATGGAAAATATAACTAAACACATTAACAACATCAATTAAAGAAACCACAATGAAATCCCATATTTATCCCAACAAATTATCAATATTATAGTTGGTCAGATGTGGAGCACTTTTAATACATTAATGATGAGAATGTAAATTTCTAAAAGCACTTTAAAAAGAAATTTGAGAATTTTTTTTACACTAACATTTAAGCAAAGTGTGCTTGTCATATGAATAAATACACAAGGATGGGCCTTTGGCATAGCAGTTGCCTCTTTGGACAACCACACTCCATATCAGAGTGACTGAGTTTAAGTCCTGGCCCTGATTTAGATTCCTTTTAAACTACACCCTGGGAGGGGCCGGTGCTGTTGCATAGCTGGTAAAGCATCCAATATGGGCGGTGGTTCTAGTCCCAGTCCCGGCTGCTCCACTTCCTATCCAGCTCTCTGCAATAGCCTGGGAAAGCAGTACAAGATGGTCTAAGTTCTTGGATCCCTGTACCCATGTGGGAGACCTAGAAGCTCCTGGCTCCTGGCTTTGGATTGGCACAGCTCCAACCATTGTGGCCATCTGGAGAGTGAACCAGCAGATGGAAGACCTCTCTCTCTCTCTCTCTCTCTCTCTGCCTCTCCTCTCTCTGTGTAACTCGGACTTTCAAGTAAAATCAATAAATTTTTAAAAAAAAAATATACATTGGGAAACAGCAGATGATGTTTTTTTGTTTGTTTGCTTTGACAGGCAAAGTTAGACAGTGAGAGAGACAAAGAGAAAGGTCTTCCTTACATTGGTTCACCCCCTAAAATGGCTGCCGCGCCGATCTGAAGCCAAGAGCCAGGTCCTGGTCTCCCATGTGGGTGTAGGGCCCAAGCACCTGGGCCATCCTCCACTGCCCTCCCAGGACACAGCAGAGAGCTGGACTGGAAGAGGAGCAACCGGGACAGAATCCGGCTCCCCAACTGGGACTAGAACCCGGGGTGCTGGCACCGCAGGCGGAGGATTAGCCAAGTGAGCCGCGGGGCTGGCCCAGATGATGTTTTAAGTACTTGGGTCCCTGTTACCCATGTGGGAGACCTAGATTGAATTCTGGACTCGTGGAATTGATCTGGCATTGCCAACCTTTGAGTAGTCAACCATTGGATAGAAACAGTCTCTTTGTCTCTAATGACTCTAAAATAGATGAAAATATATAAATAAAAATAATAAGTATACAAATTCTAAAAGTTTAGCTTAATGAATTTTGACTAATATAAAGAAACATATGTGTTACTATCATCTAGATCAAGGTATAGAACTTTGCCATCATATCCAGAAAGTTTTGTGCTTCTTTTGTCAGGCAATCACTATTCCAATTTTTAAAAACAGCTTTATGAGTACTTAACTCACATACCATACAATTCACCATTTAAAGCATGTAATTCAATGGGTTTTAGCATATTTACACATATGTGCAACTGCCACCAAAATTGATTTTCAGAATTTCTCATTTTTATGGTTTTCATCATGAAACTTCTTTCCCTGAGGTTTAATAAATGCTTTTTAAGTTTTCAAAACAGGAAGGCCGCTGTTAAGATATGTTTGTGCATTTTAATTTTATTTATATTGCTTCTAATACATTTTAAAGTATTTCTCAATTCTGTCACAATGTTATGGTTAAAAAATAAAAATTTAAGAAAGTAAAAGTTCTCTATAGTAAATTATAAAACTGGAGAATAAAATAGTCACACTATTGTTTGGAGAATGTAACATTTTATAAAATAATTATACTTACTGGTTGGAGATGTTAGTAACTTCCTTCTTGAACCAACCAGTATTAAAAAGAGGATGAATTAAAGTGCTAAAATATTCTATTATTTATTCCTTTTTTTGAGTCATTTTTTTTGGTATCTCTTCTGTTTATATTTTGGCTTTTATACAGTTTGAGTCATCTTTTGCACTCTTTTGTCCTTACCTTTAATGCTTTTGTTCATTGTATATTTTAGTTTTTATATTAACATTGTTCTTCTATTTTGTAGTCCAGAAAAAAATGAAGATGGCTTTTTATTTTTTTTTAAAGATTTATCTATTTACTTGAGAGGCATAGATACAGATAGAGAGAGGGAGAGACAGAGAAAGAGGACTTTCATCCACTGGTTCGCTCCTCAAATGGCTGCAATGGCCAGAGCTGATCTGATCTGAAGCCAGGAGCCAGGATCTTTTTCTGGATCTCCCATGCGGGTGCAGGGACCCAAGGACTTGGGCCATCTTCTACTGTTTTCTCTGGCCACAACAGAGAGCAGGATCAGAAATGGAGCAGCCAGGATTTGAACGGGCACCCATATGGAATGCTGGCACCGCCGCAGGTGTTGGCTTTACCCACTACGCCATGGCACCGGCCCTGGCTTTTGAATTTCAGTTTTTCTGTCAAATAAATGCTTTCAGTATTTTTAGGCTAGATCTGAAAAAAAAAGCATTTCTAAATATTTATTCTAAAATGTCTTTATATATTTTGTCTGTATATATTTTAGAAGAAGGGGATTAAGTGTTAGAGAGAGGAGAATAAAGATAAGTTATGAATCATTGATGAAAACTTGTGAAAGCAAAATGCAGCAGATACAACCACAAAGCTTTAAATATAAATCATTAAGCAACGATCCGTGGTTTTAGTTCACAGTAAAAGAGTTATTTGTCAAACCCAAGAGAAGATTGGAACAGTTAAGACATTTTTAGCAAATTATGAGTGCTGCAAGCAATATTTTGTGAAAAAGACATTGTGTAAAGAAAGCATCGATGGCTTGCTTTTGCTTAAATGTTCTACAATCTTAGATCAAAAGAAAAGGATAAGAACAAATTTGGTGCACTCTCAGAGCTACTAGAGGTCATATAGCATATTTATCTTGGTACTGTAGAACATGCAGCCATACAATTGACAAATACACTTATTTATTGATATCAGTAACAGAAATGATTACACACTGGGAGCCATTCCTAAAAGAAAAATGCAAAGAAGTGAAGTGGAAAAATATAACCTAAAGTCAGGATGAGAATTATTCAGGGACCAGTGCTGTGGCATA